CAGATCAGCATCAGAAGATAAGCCATAAAGTATTATACGCTGAAGATTGGTGACCAGAACCTGCGCTTAATTACAACAAACTCTGATTCTGAACAAAGACATATCAACCAAGTCATCAATATTCTGAAGCGTCATCAGCAGTTAAGGAAAGAAGACTCTGAAGCGTTACTGAACATTCAAGACATAATTAATTCTAACGGCTTTCTTCAGACAAGATCTTCTCCAAAAGGAAAGTGTGTTAATAACATTAAACTTGCTTTATGGACAACGTCATTATTTTGTCTACATAAACAAGTCAGCTTGCAAAAAGAAGCACGTACATACACACAGTAATTTGCTAAAATCACCAACCACGCATACTCAAGCTCTAGCAAATTCATTCTTTATTCTAAGCTTAACCTGTGTAATTTATCACAGTTGTGATAAACTGTTTTGTTAGAAAACAACAACGCATTTTGTTTTAATCATATTGTAAAAGATTTTCTTGAGATTAACCGGATTGTGGTTGTACTCAAGAAGACTTTAACAGTTGTTAAAGTAGCTTTGTAATCTTGTTGAGATTAGTGGATTAAGACCTCATTGGAGAGAGGCGAAATCACCTTGACGGGTGGACTGAAGTAGTTTGAGATCAAACGAAACAGGATAAAAATACTGTGTCATTAAGCTGTTTTCGATCCAAGTTTTCAATTCAACTCCCCCTTCTTGTGTTTTTCACATCTTCAATTTCCATGGAACAAGAAGAAGCTCTTAGGTGAAGAACCTAATCAGAGGATAAGGTTAAGACCACTTGGTCTTCAAACTAACCCTTTGATTTTTATACACATGATGATGAGATAACTGTGACGATCATAATTTTCTTTATATAATTCTTGCCAGTAATAGTACATACCGTTCATTCCAAATTATCATATTTTATTTAAATTAAAGAACAATTATAAATGGAAGTAGGAGAATAGTAAAAGTTTATAAAAAATAATTCTTATTAAATATCGATAAATATTATTTAAAACTGAGGCAAATAATACTATTGGTACCACAGAATTGGAAAAAAAAAATATTACTTTCAACAAACTGATCCATTACTTTTTTTTATGACAAAATTAACGGAATTAAAAATTACTCCATCCATTTTAAAATAAATATTATTTTAAAAAAAATTATTTCAAAATAAATGTTATTCTCACTTTTTTAATATAATAATAATAATTATTTTTCTAATTGTATCTTATAATTATTATTTTATATATTACTTTTTTCATTTAAATAAATATTTAACTACATATATATTTAAAATAATATGTTTAATATTATTATTCACTTACATATATGTTTAAAATAATATGTTTAATATGTTTATATAAATATACTTAATATTATTATTCACTTACATATATTTTTAAAATAATATGTTTAATATTATTCATTTACATAATATATAATTATAATTATTTGAAATATTAGATATGTTTATTATATATTAATAATATTAAACATATAAAATATGCTATTTATTTGAAATATATAATTAAATTAATATATTATTATTCACTTATATAATATGTAATTATAATTATTTCATAATATTATATAATTATAATAAAATGTTTATTTGAAGAATAATAATACATAATTTATATTTAAAAAATTTAATTTATATCATTTTATATAAAATAGTATTTATATAAATTATTTATATAATTTTAATATATATTAAACAATGTAAACAACTCCTCATCAACGTTCTTCTATATATACAACCAGAGGATAAGGTTACAACCAGAGGATAAGGTTAAGGCCACTTGGTCTTCAAACTAATTTTTTGTTTTTTATACACATAATGATGAGACAAGTGTGACGATAATATTTTTATATAATTCTTGCAAATAACAATACATATCGTTCATTTCAAATGATTGCATTTCATACAAATTAAGGAACAATTATAAATATTCCTTTTAACAAACTAAGCCATTACATTTTTTTTAATATACTGATCGAAGAATTCGGCCTATTATGAGCGAATCAAGTACATCGATGTGAGGCTATATTTTGTTAGAGGGGTAATCGAACATGGAGAAATCCAAGTGCTGAAGGTTTCGATAGATCACAATACTGCTTATACGATCACCAAAATATTGTCAAGTTGTAAGTTTTTTCACTGTATGCACTTGATAAAGTTGTATGAAGAAACTACTTTGTTCTTTGATGTAATAATAGAGTTTGTTCCAAGGTGGAGATTTGTGAGATACTGGATCGAACTCTATTGGGTCTAAGGGTAGCTTCGTGGTTCAAAAATTTCGACAGAGGTCAGCATGCAGTCGAATGTCGCTCACATGCTGGTGTCGATGTAGTGTATGATGTAGTCGAAGGATGGTCAAGCATGCCATTTTCGAAAATACTAGGGTTGTTAGCATGTCGAATTGGACCCGTTTGTTATGCACAATTGTTTAAGTTAGCTTGTAATGGGTATTTGTTTAAAAAAAAACTATTAGTTTAGTATATTAGGTTTAGGGTATTTGTAAATCTTAATTTAGAGTGAGAGAGGTTATTTGATATTCTTGTAACACTTGTAATCTTGTTTAAAGAGAAAGTAAAGAGCAGTTATAACCAATCCTTGTTGTTCTTCGTATTCCTCATTCTTTTCTACCCTTGTGTGTTTCTTGATCATAAAGAAACATTTTATACTTTGTTACCAAGACATTGTTTTCATAACAAAAATATTTTCAATTTTCTAGAAAAATTTTCAGTTTGGTCTTCAGATTCCTTTTCATCGTCTTTGTATCCTTATACAACTGTTTCAAATATCCCATAACTTCCATAACTTTCAAGTTTGGGTTCAAAATGCTCCCATCTTCATTCTCAATATTTTTTCGAATGTCTTCATCCCATATTGAACAAATCACACGTCTCATCACTCTTCCAAAAGGGACATCTCCAAAACAGTATTTCCTTTATTTGGTCACTTCTTGCATTGGTATGAAAGCATACAACTTGGCATCCAAATAAATGTCCAACTCAAAATTTTACAGAAGAATTAGAAAATGAAACGCCTTTGGTTGAGCTTGTCTTCGAAGGAGCCATTGAAACGAGTTGGGTTTGTCGTTGTTGAAAGGACTTAGGTTTTTGAAAAAACGATGAAGGCGCGATGAAAGAGATGAGAAAATGTTAGGTTATGGTAAAATTGGGGGAAATACAACATATTTATCCACGTATTTTAAAAGTCAATAAATTATAATTTTTTAAACAAATTAAAATAAAAAACAATTAATATTTTATTCACGTGAACTATAACATGAGACTCTGTTAGTCTCAATTAATGTCAGAAATCAACTATATGGATGCAAAAAAATTCTAGAGACGATTCTTTGAAGGAAATTTTGTGAGAGACTAAAAAATAAAATCAGTAACAAGGTCAGCAAGAATACACCTTTCTCCAAATAGAGGAAGAAAACTCATAAACTTCGAATAGATGCGCTTTAGATTCAATCTCCGATAAACAAAAATTGCAAGAAGAAGAATCACTACTGACCGATAATATCCCCAGTATAATAAGTTGATCTTTAGTTGGTATTCTGTCAAGAATGAATCTCCACGCAAAAATCAAAATTTTCGATGGGACCTTTACTTCTCACATACCGTTTAAAACTCTCAACACCCTTGCGGGCTCCACTTCTTCACCTGTGAACAAGCAGAAAAATTTAAAACCCAACTTGACCGAAAATAGTCCGCTATCTCCTTTAACCAAACAAAAGTATCACAAGAATTCTTCTCCAAGACAACTAATTGAAATAACTCAACAAACTCCTCCCAAATGCTAGGAACGACCTCTTCTAAATTAACCATAATTTCATTGTAATTCCAAGTTCAAAGTACACCTGACCAGTTCACAACGTCCGCGACACTGCAGTTTCTGCTAGCTGCTTCAACGAAAAGTTCCGAAAACGCCATCTTCAAAAAGAATTGTCAAAACGAAATTGTTCTTCCGTCATTCGCTCTGCATAAAACTGCATCAGAAAAATTATAACAAAAAGGATAATCACGGACTGCTGTACCAGAACTAGGAAGCTCTGCATTTCTTCCCCTTCCTGCTAAAGTCGAGGCTGGACTGGCTGCAATTCTTGCTGAAACTGAAGCAGGAAAAACAGTGACAGCAGCATTGTTATGATTTATAGCCGAGTCTGGAGGAATTTTGGACAGAATAAGATCCCTCCACCAAATTGAATCACCTTCAGCGCGCTTTTATCTCCAATCATGACTTTAATCTCCAGATTCAAATATCTAATCCTAAGGATATTATTCCAAATCGCGTTATTCTCCTTCAAAATCCTCCATTTCCACTTACTAACTAATAAGAGCCTAATTCAAGACTTCAACATCTTTGGTATCAAAACCACCTAAAGTACGAGACTTGCACACTGCTTTTCAACTAACCCAATGAACAATTCTTTTTTCCTTGCAACCTCGCCACAAAAAATTACTTTGAATATGTTTTATCTCTAACAAAACTTTTGAAGGAGCTTTGAAGAAAAATAGCGAGTAAACCAGAATGGAATTAAGAACCACATTTATTAACATGACGCGACCTGCTATCGAGAGATAACAAAGAGAAACAAAAAATGTTTCACTTTTGCAACGTCTGTGTTGATTTTATTTATACGGTTTCATTAATTATTGAGTTAGACTTGTTTATTTAAGGAATGATTCACGGAATGATATAAGGTTTAGATTGAACAGTATTATATAAGTATATTAGAAACAGAATATCGTGAATCCGTTGTAGTCTAGTTGGTCAGTATTATAATATAAGATGGAATTTTTTTTTTGAATTTTTGAAAGCTGTATCATGTGTATTTGGATTGAATTGAAAGTTTGATAAATGAACAGCATGGATAAAAGATGAGAAAAAGAGGCAAAATCCTGCAATTTTATTTGATGGATCAAATGAGGGTAACAACATGCTCTACCAATTTTATTGAGTTTCCAATATATTTTGTGCAATTCTAATGTTGAACAAAATTCTTAACCCTAACCCTAAATGCTCCACTTAGTTTGTGCACAGTTTTCGCAATCCCAAACATTTCTTCTTTTCCAATCTCTCTTTCTGATGAAACCAACACAACTTGAGTTCCGCACAATTCATCATATATTCTCTCGAACTCTTCCAACACTTCCCCAACTATTCCCATCTTCTTCTTCTTCGTCAACATCTTCACCAACCCAACCACATGCCGCTCAAAATTCCCCTGCTCCACCATCTTCCTCACCGCTGAACCATCGATAATACCACCATCTGATTTAAGTTTCAATAGTCGCTGAACATCCCTATGGACTGAGTGAAGTGTATTGGTGGTTTGAGCTACATCTATGATTGCAGCAGCATATCCAGTAGCAGGCTTGTCATGGAATATTGGAGAGGGTTGTTTGAGTTTGAGAGATGTGGTGTTTGGAGAAGAGAATTGCAGAGAATGATTGTTGTGTGAGAAATTTATGATTTTTTGGGGTTTTGGTTGTGGAAGACGATTAGGGATTGGATGAGGAGTTCTTGTGAAGTGATGGAATTCATGATTTGTTGTTGGTGCTGGTGGAGGGAGTGATGAGATTTTGAGATTTGAAACTGATAAAGTTTCCATGGAACAAGAAGAAGCTCTTAGGTGAAGAACCTAACCAGAAGATAAGGTTAAGGCCACTTGATCTTCAAACTAACCCTTTGATTCTTTTATAAACATGATGATGAGATAACTGTGACCATCATTTTTTATTTATTTATATAATTCTTGCCAGTAATACCGTTCATTCCGAATTATCGCATTTCATTTAAATTAAGGAACAATTATAAATGGAAGTAGGAGAATAGTAAAAGTTTTATAAAAAATAATTCTTATTAAATATCGGTAAATATTATTTAAAACTGAGGCAAATAATACTATTGATATCACAGAATTGGAAAAAAAATATTACTTTCAACAAATTGACCCGTTACTTTTTTTATGACAAAATTAATGAAATTTTACTCCATCCATCCATTTCAAAATAAATATTATTTTAAAAAAAAATTGTTTTAAAGTAAATGTTTTTCTCATTTTTCAATGTAGTAATGATAATTATTTTTCTAATTATGTCTTATAATTATTATTTTATATACTACTTTTTCATTTAAATAAATATATAATTACATATATATTTAAAATAATATGTTTAATATTATTATTCACTTACATATATGTTTAAAATAATATGTTTAATATGTTTATATAAATATCCTTAATATTATTATTTACTTACAGATATTTTTAAAATAATATGTTTAATATTATTCACTTACATAATATATAATTATAATTATTTGAAATATTAAATATATTTATTATATATTAATAATATTAAATCAGAGAATAATTATATTTATAACCAGAGGATAAGGTTAAGGCCACTTGGTCTTCAAACTAACTTTTTGATTTTTATATACATAATGATGAGATAAGTGTGACGATAATTTATTTATATAACTCTTGCCGGTAACAATACATACCGTTCATTTCAAATGATAGCATTTCATATAAAGGAACAATTATAAATAATACTTTCAACAAACTGAGCTATTACATTTTTTATGGCAAAATTAATCAAATTAAAAATTATTCTCTCTATTTTAAAATAAATATCGTTTTAAAGTAATTTATTTTAAAATAAATGTCATTCTTACTTTTTAATATAGTAATGATAATTATTTTTTCAATTGTCTTCTCTAATTATTATTCCACACTACTTTCAATAAATTAATAAGACTGATTTAATAAAAGTACAACGTCTCATGACAATATAATTATATTCTTTAATCTGTGTGTAAAAACTTAAAACGACACTCATTTTAAGACAGATGGAGTACAATTTTAGGTCTAAGAGATATAACGTTGTCATTCATAAGATTTTGGACTTCTTGTAAGAGATCAACTACTTTTGTCTTCTAGTGTCAGAAAACCAAAATTATCAAGACACATTTTCTCATGTTTGACCACTTTACTTGAAGTAGCTTTGACGGTTGTCCGTTTCACAATAAAACCACCAATTCTGAGTCCTTTTAGTGGAGAAACTTCAGTCAAGTCGACACAATCATGTTTTCCTCCTACCTTCCCATACACCAGAACATATGTTTGGCCTAAGTGTTGATCTCCCCTCATGTAGGTCAGTCAAGATATTCACAAGCGCCTATTTCTTCACAAATACTCTGAACTGCCAAACTATTATTATTATATTAAAAATTATAAATGTCATTTGTAAACCATATTTTTATATTTGTTGAAGTGTGACTTAAAACCTTAAGTGATGAAGAGAAAGAAAATATATCTAATGATTGCAAAAATCAAAAGCCCTAAATTTCATAAGTCGTCAGAAATGATTGTTATTTGTGAGAGTTTTTAGCAAAACTCGGAGATGACACTACCGAAACCACGACGATCGACGGCGACCGTGGTACAACAGTGGCGGGTCGCAGGTCAAACGACGGCATTGGAGTGCGGCCGCAACGGAGGTCGCGGGTGGGATGGTGGTTGTTTGTACAACGGTGATGACTGTCATAATCGATTTGTATGTTATCCAGTTTTTTGGTCATCCAGCTAGTTTTCTCGGTTCACATGTTTTAAGACTTTTTGGTTTGGTTCACTGATCCATTTGCTAATAGGTTATGTTTCGGGCTTTGTTATAGATCTATTGGATTTTGGAAATTATAAATATGTATCTCATCTGTTATTGTAAGTCTGACAATTTTAGGATTTTTGAGCAAAAGGAAGAAATAAGGATTTAGGGTTTAAGGAAACCTTTAGAGTTATCTAGAAGATTCAGACAATACTTCCAAACACCTTGGATTTGTGTGATTACTATATTGAGAGTTAAAGAGATTGAGAAACAAGTGGGAAGAAAATGGGGTTTGTTATTGAGAACTTTGAAGTCTATTATATTGTAACTCTTTTGTAATATCTTGTAACAACTTTATGAGTATAGTGAATTGGAGAGCTACTCTCTCCCCCAATATGTAGATCATTTGATCGAACTGGATAAACAAATCTTTTGTGTTTCTCATCTTCTTTTATCTTCTTCTATCAAGTTAATCCATTGTCTTATTGGTTATTATTGCTGAAAGCCATTTATTTTGGTTGTCATTGTTCTTTGTCCCCGCACATAAAATTACTTGGTGTGAATTGAACCTTATATTTTCATAATAAATAGCATCCACCGTGGGGCGAAGGGGTATTATTTACAAAGTGAGAACCATGGATAAATGGGAGATCGAGACATTTTTCGAAGATAACGATTTTGGGTTGTGGAAAGTGAAGATGCAAACAATTTTAACTCAAGAGAAGTGTATTGAAGCTTTGAAGATGAGGCATCAATGCATGCACGGCTAACTATAGAGAAGACTGCAACTTCGATGTGGGAAAAACTTAAATTATCGTATATGACCAAGTCTTTGGGTCACATGTTGTGTCTGAAAAAACAACTATATTCATTCCAAAAGGTGGAAAACCAATCCATAGTGGAGCAGTTGATAAAATTTCAAAAAATTATTGATGATCTTGAGAATATTGAGGTGAAGATTGATGATGAGGACAATACTCTACTCTTGTTGAGCTCATTAGCCAAATTATTTAATCACTTTAAAGATTCCCTTCTTTATGGTAAGGAAAGTACTATTACTTTGGATGAAGTCTAGACGGGTGAGAGATCCTAAGAATTTTCAAAGGTGAAAGATTTGAAGATTGATGATAGTGGTGAAGGCTTGAGTATCTCAAAAGGAGCAAGTGAGCGTAGAGGGATCTCTAAATCAAAGAGGTTTGACAAGTCGAAGGTAAAAATATTTTAATTGTCAGAAAATCAGTCACTTCAAAAGGGATTTCCTGAGAGAAAGTAAAATGATGATTTTGTTCAAGTTGTGGTATCCTTAGATGAGTATGGTTATAAGAGTCTTGGTGCACTAGTGGTATGAAGTTTGGAGAGTGAAGATAGTTGAGTCTTAGACTCAGGGTTCTCTTATCACATGTGTCTAAGAATATAATACTTTGAGACTTTGAAGTTGTAGCAAGGTAGAGTAGTTCTCCTAGGTGACAACAAGGCTTGTAAGGTTTATGGTATTGGTACAGTCAGATTTAAAATGTTCGATGATCGTGAGTTTCTTTTTCATAAAGTGAGGTATGTTCCAGAACTCAAGTGAAATTTATTGTCCATAAGCATGTCTGATGATCTAGGCTATTGCACTAGAGTTGAACGTAGAGTGTTGAAAATTTTGCATAATGAAGTGATTATAGCTAAATAGTCTAAAATATATGGTGTATATATTTTGGAAGGTTCAAATGTCGTTGTTCATTCATTATCAGCTAGTGAAGACTTTCATGACAAGAATAAGCCATGGGATTTGAGGTTAATGCATGATGATTACTAGGAAGTTATTTTAGAACAATTTAATGAGTTTTGTAGAAGACAATGTATAAAAACGCATGAGACTACTGAGTTATCAATGAGTTATGGGGTAAAGTTGGTGTCAAAACAGTTTACTTGGTTGACGGAGAGTTATGTCATGTGAAGAAGAGTAAAAGCCAAGGGAGGGAGCGCTTAGAAACTATGACAGAGAAAACTCAATTTAAGGCGGAGTTTCCTACTATAGATACTAGTAGTAGTGTGGGAACGGTTACAAATTCCTCTAATTTTAATTTAACTCTTGATAAGGTAAGGAGGGAGATTGTAGCATCTCAAAGGGACTATTATTATACTTTTGAGTATTATGCTTTGAATGTGGCTGAAGGGTTGGAAAATACAGAGACAGGGACCTTCAAGGATGCATTCAAAGACATCTGGAGTCAATAGTGGTTGAAATACCACTCTCGTGGGCTTGTTTAATTACCTAGGCAGAAATGGATAATTGAAAACAAGTGGATACAAATTGCTAGATCAACGTTTAAGAATTTATTGAACTTGATCAAGGTTTTTGAATATGGTTTCAATATGGTAGAGAGCACCATGTAGTTGATGGTTAAATTTGCATCACCATGGTTTAAAGTCAATGTGGAGATTGTTAAAGTATGCCTTAAAACCTTAAGTGATGAAGAGAAAAAAATATTTAATGATTGCATAAACAAAAACCCTTAAATTCCAAAAAGTTTACCGAAGGGATTGTTATTTATGAAAGAGTTTTAGCAGAAATCGGGCAAAAATTGAAGACGATAATGCAGGGGGAGCGACAACGGTGCCAATTGGCAGAACTCTGACGATCAGCGATGGCGGCTGGGGCACGGTGACGAAGGGTCATAAGGGAGGCAGTCGAAATTTGGAGTGTGGTGGCAGCGGAAGACCGTAGGTCGGACGACATCGACCAAAGTGCGGCAATAGTGAAAGTCGCGGGTCGAACGGTGGCGGTGGGTGTTTGTACAACAATGACGGCATAACGAATCTCTACGGGTTTTTGCTATGGTGGCACGGTTGTCGAAATTGATCTTTGAGTTTTTTTGGTCATCCAGTCATATAGAGAACTTTGAAAAACACTCATGTAAAAAAATTGGATTATCCGATTATCCCCTACCATATAGAGAACTTTGAAAAACACTCATGAAAAAAAATTGGATTCTCCTTTTAACTTATGAAG